GAGCAAGGTGTTGTTCAGTTTCCATGTGTTTGATTCTTTTTCCTTGCTTTAAGAACAAAAACTCTTGCAAAGAAATAAAGATTACTCATTTCATCCTGTCCATCAAACATTCAGCTTACGGCCCAGTAGCTGAACTGAACCCAAACTCCTACCATCTAAACTGAAAACTGTCTCTGGCCTGGAGATTCTCGAGTTATTTTGAGTTCCTAGACTGGCAAAGAGCCCATCTGCACTTTGGTGATTTAAAAAAAAAAAAAAAAAAAAAGGTTGCCATACGCAGTCACATCAAACCATCTCTCACTGTAGAAGATGCTGGAGAAACTGAGGTATCACTGAAGCATCTCTGGAAGATCCTAAAATCTGGGCATCAAGGCCAACCATAGTATCGTCTAGAGAAGAACACTGTGCCCTCTTACTTGATTTCTTAAGTTCCAAACAATGCCATTTTTCTGGACTCAGGTTAACCAGGTCTTTAATTGTCTTCAATGGACTTCTAGGCGTATTTTCTTACACTTTCTCGTTTGAACAGTTTCTGAAGGCTAAGATTCCAAACTGGAACCTAAAGCAAAGTGAGAGTATTGTTTCTAATCTGGCTACAAAAACGACAGGAATTGTGCCAGAGGGTCTATTTTCCTGAGATTTCTGCCAGTTTCCAGAGAGCAGAAGTTAGAAGTCTTTCTAGGTAAATATTTCACCTTTGAGCCTCTAGAGTTTGTCTGTCCCTGCTCTGCTCACTGCAGATGAAAATGGACTGGATTGCATCAACCACACGGTCCAAAAATCATCAAGGTTCATGTTTCCCAAATAGAAGACGATAAGTCGTATTATAAATATCCTTCTGCCCCTGAGTCAGTGGCATTTGTGATCACAAATCAGAAGGCTGCCCCAGCAGCTGGTCAGCAGCCTGTCCAGCTACACACACTATACAGGCAGAAAGGTCTTGTCTGCAGTGTTCCCCACTGGAGCTTCATATGCCCTTTGGCATGTGCATAGAAATTTGGAGAGAGATCTAAAAGTCAGGAGACCTGTATAAACTTTAAATGAAGACAGAAAAGTAGGTGAGCAAAGGATGTTTATTAAACTTTTCATATTTGTATTTTTTTATGGAGAACAATAAGACATTAAAAGTATATCTCTTGAGCTACTGTGCATCAGAGAGGCAGTACAGAGTTATGAATACCAAAATCCTAAAATCCCCCAAACACCCTTTGACTACAATTGTGGCAACTGGATTGGGAGTAATGTGGAAGGGTTGGTCCAAGCCAACAAAAGCAGCCTCTCTGCCTTACAAAGCATGGTCTACAAAACAAAAGCTGGGACAGCTGAGGGTTGGAGATGATAAGGAATGTTCCCTTTGATATTTTTATCACTGAAAAGTCTAATTCACATAACTAACTGTCCAGCACCCAATATACCCTGACAGAAATTCCCTGCTTTTAAATGAAATGATTTGAACATTAAGCACCTACTAATGTGCAAAGCACTGAGCTTTTTGGGAGGGTGCTACAACTAAAAAGAGAGAAAGTAAGGAATTGTGCTTTGTATTTCAATTTATTTATTTCAAAATAAGTACATATATATTATACAAATGGATATTTCATTATCTCAGAAAAGCTTTATGCCCAGCACAATTCCAGGCATTTGGTTGACTCTAATAAAGGTTGCTGAACTATTATATTTGCTTAAATACATCAAAGTATATATTATGTATATAAATATTAGTAGTCAGAAGTATATTCTTTACCTAGAAAGATTTCTAGCTTCTGCTCTCTGGAAACTGGCAGGAATCTTTGGAAAATAAGACCTTCCAGCACAGTTTCTATGTTTTTTTATATCCAGGTTAGAAACAGTGTTTTCAGATTGTTTTAGATTCAAGAAACCACAGCCTTCAAATACTGTTCAAATGGAAAAAGTATAAGAAAATACGCCTAGAAGTCTACTTAAGAAATGTAAGCCATTAATGTCCATCGAAGACCAGTTGGTTTGGGTCCAGCAAATGGACCCAGTGTATGTGTTGATTTCATTCTATCGTCTTTGATGATAAATGGAAGGCAGAGGGAACCTAAGGGCACTGAAATGGCTCTCTCCCCTTTTCTTGGCTGAGTATAAAGATTAGCAAGAAGGCCTGGGGAAAAGAGCATACAAACAGGGATTTACATTTTGTTCTTCCCCATTCTAACCTGTCAGGAGAGTAGGTGCAAAAGGCTAAGCAGCATGACCTTAAAGTTGTGGAAAGATTT